TCTTCAAGGGCAGCCCCATGTAGAGCACATTGCAGTATAAGTGATACAAAACCTGCCCACTTTGGGCTTGTTTATAGGGATTGTCAACTAATCCTCCACCATTATGCCATCCCCAATAGGAGCTCCAGCAAGGAGGCGAGGGGAGTCCTCTGGCCCTCCTCAAATCTAGACCAAGCACCAATTCATCCCACTTCAGAGCATTACCTGTGGTTTCAGGGGTTTCGGGGAAAGTTGTATGGAGGAAGCCAGTGGAAAATTGTCCTTCATTGACTGGCACCCGAGGCAGCAGCTGAGGAGGAGGAGGCAGCTCCATTGAATCAAAGTGTGAGGCAGCAATAGAGGCGGAGCTGGGAGACATAGAGGCTGAGGGGCGTTCCATTAGTCCACCATAGGCACCTGGAAAGGAAACATTACAAGCTGGGCTCAGCTGGAAAATCAAAATCATCAAAAGCTTGCTTCCCATTATTCAGGATACTGCTTATAAGCGCTGTGTACTTAAGAGTTCAAAGCATTGTTAGAGACCCCAAACACCCACTTCACGGTCAGTTTCTGTTGCTCCCCTCTGAGAGGAGGTTACAAAATATCTATAGCAGAACTACTAGATTCTGTAACAGCTTCATTCCTTATGCCCTCCATTACAGGATTCTTTTTTTTTCCACCATGTATACGTATACATCTGAATTAGACTGATATTTCTCTGCGTCATATATGTGTGTGTATGTGGGTGTATGTATAATGGTTTATCTTTTGAGAGCTGAATGCAATGAAATTTCATTTTAATGTATGCTGATTAGTGTTTACTCTTCCTGTTCCATCTTCTAAAAAGCAGGTCACTTCCTCTTCCAAAGGTTCATAACTGCACTTTGTACCTATACCCCAAAGAGAGGAGGTGTCTTTGCCATCTCCTCAAGAGAGCACACTTTATGTTTATTTCCTTTTTTCTTAAATCTACAGCAAACAGCAGCACCTAGCTGACCTTGGCAGATTCTGAAAAAAGTTAAGAAAAGCCAGAGCCCGTTATTATTATTTGGGTGGGAGACCATCAGGAAACTCTACAGCTGTAGGCTTGATTGAGCACACACTGCACAACACAACATATGGAAAAACACTTCTATATTGCTGTCAATAAACTTGATTTCAGATATGTTTTTTAAATCTTTAACTATTTTTCTTGGGAATTTAGTAGCATTTTACCAAAGTTTTATTTGACAACACCCCCCACCCCACAAAAAATCAAATCCTAGATTTAATACTAATTTGCATTTTTCTCGTGTGCTTAACTTGAATGTGTCGTTTGTGCCTGAAAGCTGTTTTTGGTATAATGTGGGGGGAAAAAAACCTAAATAAACTTTACTGGTAAACAGCTATTGCTGCATTGTCACAGCATCCTATAAGGTACACAGATTCAACTGACTCAATGTCACACAATAAGCTTCTTATCTGCCTGGGATTTGAACTCTGGTCTGAAGTCTCCAGAGCGTGATAAACGGCCCAACGCACAAACCAGAAGACCGTTCCTGAACTTCTGGTTTGCGCGTTGGGTGGTTTTTCACTCTCTGGCTTCAGGGAAGCCTCCAGATGGCGAAAAACGGCCGAAAAAGAAGAAAAAAATATTCCAGAGGAAAGAGGGGAGGAACTGAAGGAAATTATAATTGAGATGATTGCAGGGATCACCCAGAAAGATAAGCTGTTGATACAGAGTGATACTGATGACGTCTATAGGGTCTATACCTCCTATACTGGGAGACAGAAACTGCCACGTGAAGTGCACATGAGGTTTAGCAAATGATCTCTGAGAGAAGAAATTTATCAGAAGGCACGTGACCAGAATACCATATACGCGGGGGAGATGGTGACAGTACTAAAGCAGACACTAAGAAGAGGGAGGGAAAGGAGGCAAAAATATCACTCTGTATCA